GTGTGCAGCTCGGGCTTGTGGCAGAGGCCTGCATAGGCTCCTCAGAGTGTGACTTAGCAGTTGTCCAGTAACAGAAATGACTCTATTCTCCTCAGTAATAAAGGTCGGCTGCCAGAGACAAGCCACCATGACCATGGACCAGACTGAGAAGCAGACCTTCAGACGAGGAGGGGCCCAGAGTGGGCCTCTAATGGATCTGAAATCCTTTACTTATACTCTGACCAAGTACACACAACTGTCCATCATGTCAGACCTGAGCATTTACTAGGAAAATAGTATAAAAGATGAAAATGTAACCTGTCAGAATGTCTACCATCAACAAATAAACAAATGACAAGTGCTGGCAAGGATGTGAAGAAAAGGGAACCCTAGTACACTGCTGGTGGGAATGCAGACTGGTGCAACCAGTTCTAGATCACCATTATGGAAAACTGTATGGAGTTTTCTCAAAAAATTAAATATGGAACTCCCATTTGACCTAGTGATCCCACTTCTAGGACTATATCCTAAGAAACCCGAAACACCAATCTGAAAGAATATATGCACCCCTACGTTCATAGCAGCACAATTTACAATAGCTAAGATCTGGAAACAGCCTAATTGCCCATCAATAGATGAGTGGATAAAAAAGCTGTGGTACATTTATACCATGGAATACTATGCAACAGTAAAAAAGAAGACTCTTTTACCCTTTGAGAGAACATGGAGGGATCTGGAGGGTATCATGCTAAGTGAAATAAGCCAGTCAGAGAATGTCAAGTATCCACTCATATGTGGATGATCACACTCATATGTGGAATCTAAGTAACAAAATAAACTGAAGGAACAGAGTAGATCCAGAGACATGGAAGCATGAAACAGAGTGCAGAATCTCAGAGGGAAGGTGGGGGAGAGTGGGTGGGTGGGAGGTAATCAACCAAAGATCTGGTATGCATATATGCATAAACCATGGACACAGACAATAGGGTGCTGAAGGCCTGGGGTGGCGGTAGGGGGTCAATGGAGGAAAAAAGGGGACACATGTAATACTTTCAACAATAAAGAATTATTTTAGCCCTAGCTGGTTTGGCTCAGTGGACAGAATGTCAGCCTGTGGACCAAAGGGTCCAGGGTTCGATTCCTCTTAGAAGCAAGAGTAGCCTGGCTGGTGTAGCTCAGTGGTTGAGTGTTGACCCATGAACCAGGAGGACACAGTTCAATTTCCAGTCAGGGTACATGCCTCCTCCCCAGCCAGGAGGCAACCAATCAATGTGTTTCTCACACATCAATGTATCTCTTTGTCTTTCCCTTTCGCTTCTACTCTCCCTATAAATCAATGGAAGAATATCCTTGGGTGAGGATTAACCAAAAAAATAAAAAATAAATAAATAAATAAAATAAAAAAAAATTATTAAAAAAACCCACAATGTAATAAGTGTTATTTATAAAATAGAGCATTTATTTTAAAAATTAATTCCTACTTTAGATGAATAGATTAATTCCTACTATGATGAATGCCTTTTTTTCCTTTCCAATCCTATCTGTGTACTCTCATCACTTTATGGAAAGCCTCATTTGAGGATGCTATTAAAAGCAAGGACTTGGCAGATGAAATCACCTATCACCTGACTTGTTATAGATCCTGCAGAAGGCAAAAGGCTCAAAGGTAATCCAACCAAAAACCGTAAAAATAGATTACTGTAATTTATAGCCCAAAATAAAAATTTTCTTCCTCTGGGGAAAAAGAAAAAGACAAAAAAGTGTCTAGAGCTTGAACACCTCCAGTGCTGTGGCATAATAAAAGTGCTGATTTGGAACGCCACCTAAACATGAAGTTAAATACACCATTAGGTAGACAAAGGTCTAAACAAAGCCTCTTAGAAGCAAGAGTAGCCTGGCCGGTGTGGCTCAGTGGTTGAGTGCTGACCCATGAACCAGGAGGACACAGTTCAATTTCCAGTCAGGGTACATGCCTGGTTGCAGGCTTGATCCCCAGTAGGGGGCATGCAGGAGGCACCCAATAGATGATTTTCTCTCATCATTGATGTATCTGTCTCTCTCCCTCTCCCTTCCTCTCTGAAATAAAAAATACACACACACACACACACACGACAAAGTATTGACAAACATGTGAAGAAATTGGAACTCTCATATGCCATTAGTGAAAATACAAAATGGTGCAGTCACTTAGAAAAATAGTTTGGCAGTATGCAAAAGATTAAACATAGAATTACCTAGTAATTCCACTCCCAAGTATATATCCAAGAGAAATGAAAACATGACCATGCAAAAACTTGTAAATGAATGTTTAGAGCAGGTCATGATAGCCAAAAAGTGGAAATAACTTAAATGGCCATCAACTGATGAATGGATAAAGAAAATGTTTTCACAAAAATGAACACATGCTACAACACAGATGAACTTTGAAAACATCATGCTGAGTGAAACAACTGACACACAAAAGGACACATCTTGTATGATTCCAATTATATGAAATGTCCAGAATAGGCATATCCATAGAAACAGAAAGGAGATATAGGTGATTGCTAGGGCTGGGGAAAAGGAGGAATGGAGATGGACTGCTAATGGGGATGAGGTTTCTTTGGGGATGATGAAGATGGTCTGGAATGGTGATGGTTGAACATCCCTATGAATACACTAATAAACACTGAATTGTACACTATACGTGCGTGAATTATATGGTAGGTGAATTATATCTCAACTAGAGGCCTGGTGCATGAACTTTGTGCACGGGGGGTGGGGGAGGGCATGTCCCCTCAGCCCAGCCTGCGCACTCTCGCAGGACCCCTAACTCCTTACTGCCCGCTGCTCCTTACCGCTTGGCTCGCTGCTCCTTAGTGCTGTCATGGAGGTGGGAGAGGCTCCCGTCACTGCCGCTGCACTTGCCAGCTGTGAACCCGGCTTCTGGCTGAGCAGTGCTCCCCCTGTGGGAGCGCACTGACCACCAGGGGGTAGCTCCTGCATTAAGCGTCTGCCCCCTGGTGGTCAGTGTGCATCATAGTGACTGGTTGTTCTGGTTGTTCCGCCTTAATGGTCTCTTAGGCTTTTATTATATAGATGTAGCTATTTAAAAAACAGTTGTAGCCCTAACCGGTTTGGCTCAGTGGATAGAGCGTCAGCCTGCGGACTGAAGGGTCCCGGGTTCGATTCCAGTCAAGGGCATGTACCTTGGTTGTGGGCACATCCCCAGTAGGGGGCAGCTGGCAGCTGATCGACGTTTCTCTCTCATCGATGTTTCTAACTCTCTATCCCTCTCCCGTCCTCTCTGTAAAAAATCAATAAAATATATTTTAAAAAACCACACAAAACAAAACAGTTGTAGCAGCTAATATTCATGGGGCATTTATTATAGGCTCTGGGCTAGGTATTTAAGGTACACTACCTCATTTAATCCACCTAACAATTCTATGAGATAGATACTATTACTATCCCCCATTTTACAGATAAGAAACCTGAGAGACTTAGAGTGGTTAAGTAACTTGCTCAAGGTCAACAAAGAGCCTGGCTTTGAGGTCAGGTCTATGTGACCTCAGAATTTAAACCCTTAATCACTTCTCATAGTGCCTCTTCTATCCAGTCTACTGCTAAATTCTGTCCATTCTTCCTGGCAACATTTTGACATTTCTCATACTCATGACCTCATTTCCTTCCCATCTTCCTTGCCTATCATCAGACTGTTTTAGCAAACCTAAGCTCCCTACCCTAGTCTTTCTCTTCCAGACCCTTCAACACATTTATGAGGGTGTCTTCACATGAAGTTCCAGCTTTGTCTCTGGCTCAAAAATTTTCAGTGGTTCCCACAATCTAAAGCACAGTCAATACCCCTGCACATATTTCTACCATATTCCTTCCTCTCACCCTATGCTGCCCCATTCTCATCACTCCTGAACACCATATACCCCTCTCCTACCTTTGGGCTCTTGCTTAGCCTGTTCCTGCTACCTGGGATGCCCTGCACCTCTGCCTATCAATGTCCTATCTATGTTTCAAAGCTGGCTCCTTGTTTACTAACTTTTTCTCAATTTCACAACCCTGCCTCCTTGCCTGTTAGAACTTAATCTCACTTTCTTACAGCAAAAAAACATATTCTAGTTATTCCAGGAGTATAAGGGTTATTTCTGACCCATGTCTACCTTCCCACAGCACTGCCTAGCATAACAAAGGGCCTTACTGAACAGAACTGTCATAGTGGATGTTATCTGGGCTGTATTTGAGGCAGAGAAGAAAGATGGGAGTATGTGAACCCAGGAACCATATTCTAAAGATGGGAGAAGATTCTGAGGTGACAAGACACATAGACTATGGAAAGAAAGATACAATAGCAGGGTAGGACCCACTCTAGGACCCATATCCTGCCTTCTGGAATACCTGGACTGCCTAGAGCACTGGACAGTCTCCATGCCTGCTTCCCCATATGGTTCCACAAGCCACATTGGTTTCCTCTCTGGCACCAAGAGGGCAATTAGTTAAGTTTGTATAGTGATCTGTTATTTCATGGTCTCAGCCCCACATGGCCCAACTGGGTGGCCTGGGTGGCTATGCAGGCTCCTTATATTCAAGGGCAGCTACACTTCCCATTTCCCAACACCTGAATGTGAAGATCCAACACTGTCATCTTAGTCCTCTGCTTGGGAAAGATTACCAATCTGGGAGGTGTGGTGGGGCAGTGCTGGGCTGGGCAGGTCCGATCCAGAACAGCTATGCAATGACTATTAAAGAAGTGACAAGTGCCTGGAGTCCATTAGTATATCAATAGTGAGCCAGGGGTAAGGGTTTCCAAACTCACTATTCACAGTACCCATCAGTGAGCCCTGGTCGGCACAGGGCACTCTTCATCTCTTCTCTGTATCTGTAAACTTCCTGAACATCAGCATTTTCATTGCAGTTTCCATTCCTTTTTCCTGCCTCCTCCTCTCTTTATGGCAACATTTATTTCAGTGGGGGCTGAATGCATAGTAAAGGGAGTGGGACTAGCTGGGCCTAATCTCTGGACTACTCACTTGATTAGCATAGCGTTTTGGTAACTTCTTGCCAGTGTCAATGTCCATTTCTTCATCATATTTCTTATCTTCTTCCTCACTCTCCATCCCTGTCCAGTCATCTTCAGCCAGTCTTCTGGCATGATTCACATAATCCAGCCGCTTGCTGGAGAAAGAAAAGGCATAAGCAGAAGTGAAAATTTTAAAACGACAGCTTCCAGGGCTTTCTGCTTTAAACAGTTTTATGAGGAGCAGCTAGGCCTTTCTCTAGCTCCTGTCTAATTTTCAAAAACAATCATTTAGTTTACAATTTAATAACTTATTCATTTCCCTCTATCGTTATCTTCCTCTTTTTTTAAAAAAATATATTTTTATTGATTTCAGAGAGGAAAGGGGAGAGAGAAACATCAATGATGAGAATCATTGGTTGGCTGCCTCCTACATGCCCCACACTGGTGATGAGCCTGCAACCCAGGCATGTGCCCTGATGGGAATCGAACCATGACCTCCTGGTTCATAGGTTGATGCTCAACCACCGAGCCACGCCGGCCAGGTATTATATTCTTCTTTTTTAAAAAAAATTGCATATTGTACAAAGTTTGGGAAATGAGAAGGAAGAACAGTAACCTTTATAACCTACCTGTTCCAAAGTGATTTGTAAAGTAGCCCTGGCCCAATAGCTCACTTGGTTAGAATGTCATCCTGATACACCAAGGTTGCAGGTTTGATCCTTGTATAAGAATCAACTAAGAGATCAAGCACTGAGGCAGTGAGACCAACTCAGCTGGGTTTTTTTTCAAACACACGTGTTCATGCACATAAAGGTGCACATGAGAGAGGGCATATGCAAGCACAATGGTCTTTTATTTCAAGAGTAGTGCCCTGGTGCACAGATTCATGCACATTGAAGGGAAATTAATTAGAAGGTGGCTGGCAGGGTGGGACTAGGTGAGATAGGCCGGACACACCTGGGGTGGCACCATGGCTCGCAGGGTGTCTGCAGAGTGAGCGGGGTCCCTCCAGCAGGTGGGGTCCCTCGGCCTACTCTGTGGGGATCGGGACGAAACCAGCTCTCCAACATCCCCCTAGGGGTCCTGGAGTGCGAGAGGGCAGTTCTCGGGTGATGCACCCCAGAATTGGGCTTCCTCCTCGCTGGTTCTGGAGCGCGTCACCAGAGAATAAGACACTGCAGTTCAGCAGCTCCTGCCCCCTGGTGGTCAGTGCGCATCATAGCTACCGGTCAGACAATCACTTAGCCTTTTATATCTACCTCAACGCAGGAGCTGCCATGACTTGGACTGGCCATTTAAAAAGAAACGGCACCGCGGACCTGGTGCCCACAAAGCAACATTTGGCTCCCCCCAAGTGGGACACAGGCCCTGCCACCACCCTAGAGTGACAGCCCATCAAATTACAGCCAACACTGCCGAGACCCCATGGCGCCAAATGCAGCCCACAGCCCAGCCCGGACCAGAAATGGTCGCTGTGGGTGCCGGGTAATGACATCACGTAGCAACGCCCGGTTTCCTCTCCCTAGAGACAGCTAGCCTCCTTGGAGTTTCTTCAGCCCAGGAACACGACTTGCTTTATAGCCAGCTGCAAACATTTCACACTTTAACCAAATGTCTGTGAAGTGGTTTCCCGTGCCTCATCTCATTTGATCCTCACAGAAGTCCTGGAGTAGGAGACTTGGTGGAATCTTATTTTCATTACCCGGAAAACAGAGATTTAGAAAGTTTAGAAACTTGACCTGACTGAAAAGAAGAAATGGTGGAACATGAAAATGACTTCAGGTTTTCTCACTGTGCAGAATATAGTCAAACACTGCTGCAGTTAAATATTTTACCCTTTGTTCTCCCTGCATGAGCTACAATAATAATCTGCTTTGTGTTAATATTTACTGCTGTGTTGCTGACAATTACCTGAAAGAGAAGTTGGGGTGCTTCACTAGGCTGGAAAAAGTTTAGCTACATCAGAAAGCAGGTCTAATTAAGCATGTTTATTCTATATATATAAAAGGCTAAGCTGACTTGTGCATGCACAGTACATATAAAAGCTCTTGCTGGCACTAATCTGTCACTGTCGATTGTGAATTCGGTTGACACTTCTATTATAGAGAAAGGGTGAATAGCAATATTAAAATATTTCTTCTAATTAATTTCCTTTCAATTTGCACGAATCCATGCACCAGGCCTCTAGTATATAGATAAGAAAGAGCTGGAGTGCTTGTACATGTACAAAAGGATGAATTTCTGTGGTTATTTCCCAAGCATTGTTTTAAGCACAAGAGAAGGAAACTAAAAAAACAAAAACAAAAAAACTGCCCCGCCCGTGTTGTTCAGTGGCTGAGCATCGACCTATGAACCAGGATCACGGTTCAATTCTTGGTCAGGGTTGCAGGCTCGATCCTCAGTAGGGTGCATGCAGGAGGCAGCCAATCAATGATTCTCACTGATGTTTCTCTTTCTCTCCCTTCCTCTCTGAAATCAATATATATATTTTTTATTTTTTTTTATTTTTTATTTTTTAAATATATTTTATTGATTTTTTACAGAGAGGAAGGGAGAGAGATAGAGAGTCAGAAACATCGATGAGAGAGAAACACCGATCAGCTGCCTCCTGCACATCCCCCACTGGGGATGTGCCCGCAACCCAGGTACATGCCCTTGACCGGAATCGAACCCGGGACCCTTCAGTCCGCAGGCCGACGCTCTATCCACTGAGCCAAACCGGCTTCGGCAATATATATATTTTTTAAAGAGAGGAGGGAGATATCTGTAATACTATCAATAATAAAAAATATATTAAAAAAAGAGAGGAAAGCCCTGGCTGGTTTGGCTCAGTGGATAGAGCACCGGCCTGTGGACTGAGGGGTCCCAGGTTCGATTCTGGTCAGGGGCACATGCCTGGGTTGTGGGCTCAGTCCCCAGTAGGGGGCCTGCAGGAGGCAGCCGATCAATGATTCTCTCATCATTGATGTTTCTATCTCTCCCCCTCCCTTCCTCTCTGAAATCAATAAAAATATATTTAAAAAAAAAAAAAAAAGAGAGAGAGAGAGAGAGAGAGAGAGGCAATTACCCATATGCCCGTCAGTAGGGGACTGCTTTGATTATTATATCATGAACTGTCCATTCAATAGAATACCTGGAACTTAACGATATAGAATTTCTGCAAAAAAACATTGTTAGCTAAATGTTCAGAACAGTATACTTAAAAAAAAAAAAAAGGTTGCAGGCCAGGTAGCTCTAGTCACCAAAAGGGTATGGATTCCATTTCCAGTCAGGGACTATACCAGTCGATGTTTCTCCTTACATGGATGTTTCCCTCTCTTTCTCTCTCCTTTCCTCTCTCTCTCTAAAATCAATAAAAAAACATATCCTCAGGTCAGGATTAATAAAAAAGGTCATCACACTTGCTCATTTTGCAGAGAATATCTTTGAAAGGATACCTAAGAAACTAATAATATGAGATAAACTGAATAGCTAAGAGGAAAACATTAGGAGGAAGACTTTTCACCAATTATTTTGCAACAGGTAATATATCCATTACATGTATTCATAGTTCAAAATTTGAAATATATAAATTATAGTGTTTTTTTTTTGTTTAAGAAGGGGCATGGGGTGATCTGAGAAGGTAATTTGCAAGCAACCCAGAGGCCACAGGGAACCATTTCTGCTAAATACATGCAGTGATGCAACACTGGGCAAAATGCAGATGGTATAGAAACTGTGCAGCTGTTAACAGCTCCTCTTGATTTTCAATCCTTAATTGATTAACCCAGAAGAGACCATGTTGCACTGAGAATAAAAGGGCAGACCTTGCCTTCTGAGAAGCATAGCCTCAAACATTCCTATCCTGCTCTCTTTTCCTGTATGCTCATCTTGGCACTGAGAATTACATGTATGGAAGATATTTCCTCAAGTTCCCTGTGGAATTATTTGTTTGGAGCTCCCAAGGTCTCTACAGAAACATCTGGGCTGCAGACAGACAGGAAGACCACACCAAGGCCAGGATTCAGAATGTGGGAGAAGCTACACAGGGAATGTGGGGAGTGGAAGTCTGGGCATGACTTTCTCAAGTCCATAAATTACAAAGCTCAGTACTGCTGCCAGGAAAAAAAAAAATTAACCAAATAACTGAAGTTTTACTTTCAAACTTCCTCATCTTTTTTCTAAGCTCTGGGTGTAAAAGACATCTACCTCTGCCAGGATTTATTCCTCCCAACCTTGTGGATAACATGATCAACCTACAAAGGGTCTACTTTGAAGAGGGTTCTGTAGAAGCAAGCCTAGAGCTTTCTGAACTGTTCACAATGCCCAGCCTGGAGAAAAAAGCCAGGGAGTCAAAGCATCCCTTACAATTTCTGCCGTTCCAATAACTGCTGACGCCGCTCACTCTGCTCCAGGGAACTGTACTTGGACTTGTACTGGGACAGGCGAGGGTGTGGGGCAGCTGTGCTATTCAGATCTTGAGACACAGAAAAGCTACTAGCCAGGGCTTGACTCAGTTCTTCCATTTTCCCTACAAAGGAAAATATAAGAAGATGGTTCATTCATTTTATATTACCTCCTGTATACAGGCAGTTATAACATGGTATCTACATTGCTAAAAAAAACCTTAATCCAAAATCATAATGGTTTCCTGGGAAAAATGAAAGTTAAAGGGTAAAAGAGTTACAGATGAGCAATTACGGTATTTCCTGCAGATTTTTAATAATGATCCTTCTGATAGATATAACCTTAAACATTAGCCACTAAGCAATTTCACCTTGTGATTCAATCTAACTTTTGCTCTTTGCTACCCATTACCAGGTGTCCTATCATTAATTCCTTCTTACCACACATAACCAGTGATGTGATCAAGTACCTAACTTTTTCCTGAACAGCTCTAAATAGTCATTACTCATTAACTAATAAAACTTTCTGATGCAGTTTATCCAATTGGTTGTTTAATTCTCTAATAAATGCCAACCCACATTAAGAAAATTTAGCTCCAGAAAAAATACTGGTTCTGGGGCCCCTGCAGGAAGACAAGATAAGCCAAAAACCCAAATCTAGCAGTTATTTTCTCATTTTATAGTTTGTTTTGTTTGGAGTGGGCCAAAGGAAGTTTTCAGAACTACCTACTTCGGACTCAGTTAAAAAATGATAGCTAAAAAAGCAAAAAAAAAAAAAAAAAAAAAAAAAGCTAGAATGTGGAAGGTTGTCTACCAGCTAATAGCATGTGCTTTAGAACTGTGAAGGACTGACATGTGGTACCTTTGGGAGAACAGAGAGGAGATGTCATACTGGAGAAAGACTACCCAGGTAAGCCCTAAAGAATTAAAGTGGAGAAGAGGAGGTGAATTCACACTTCACTCTTCTGTGAATAAAGGTATGGAGCTTACCCAAAGGTTAAAGTTGTGCCTCAGAAGAAAAGGGAAACATCTGAGAGACAGCTGGACAGTGGGCACCACAGTGCTTCAGGTTCACCTCAGCGTAGTTCCCACTGCTCTGAGCACCAAAGCCAGCAAGTTCATTCCAGAGCCTCTAGAGTTAAAAATAGACCTTATGGGCCTCTACTAGGCAATGAGTTACTTTCCATTGCACACTTGAGGTCAGATTTTCTTTTCTTAATTTACAGCATTAGATTTTTTAATTTGAAAGGAACTTTCAAAAATTGTGATTAAAAACTCAAGTTACCATCTTAACCACTTTAAGTGCACAATTCAGTAGTGTTTAGTGCATTCACATTGTTGCTCAATCAATTTCCAGAAATCTTTTTCATCTTGCAAAATGTACAGGAAAGGAACTCTTTTTTACTTAAGATTAACATAGCAATACTTGAGTTGAGGCTCGTCTTAACACACATAATGCCACCAGGGTGGCCATTTGCGGCTGAGGCTTAGGTGATGAGTACTTGGAATCCGTAATGGCGAGCTACTTTCTGTACTTTTGTGTAAGTCTGAACACTTCCATAATACAATTTGTGGGTTTCTGCTCTTCTGGGAAGCACAAAAAATCGTAATCGCAGCTTTGGATACTGGGGAGGCTCTCTACGCTGTTGCTGGCTGCCTCCTCCTCTTTGAACCCATTCCTCCATGGGTGCAGTCGTTTAGGGTTCTCACCTCGGCACGGTTGGCTTCCTGCGCCAGCGGCGTCTGCGCCCTTCTAACTCCCAAACCTCCGGCCCCGCGCCCGCGCCCGCGCCCGCGCCCGCGCCCGCGCCCGCGCCCGCGCCCGCGCCCGCGCCGCGCCGCGCCCGCGCCCGCGCCCGCGCCCGCGCCCGCGCCCGCGCCCGCGCCCGCGCCCGCGCCCGCGCCCGCGCCCGCGCCCGCGCCCGCGCCCGCGCCCGCGCCCGCGCCCCTCCTCGTCGTCCTCATCCTCCGCGGCCGTCTCTCACCGAGCTTCTATCGATTCCAGGAGGCCGTTCTCCCCGCCACAGCCCCGCACAGCCTTTTCCCTTCCGGATGGGGCCGTTCAGGTCTTGAGGGATCCCTCCTCCACCCACTAGTCCCTGAGAGTCTGGGCCAGACCGCGGGGGCTAAAGGAGCGGAAGCGCGCCCAGGAGGAGGACCTGGCTGGCTCCGCCCGTGCGGGGGAGAACCTCCGGAGGCCCGGGATTGGAGCCGGCACCGAGGGGCAGTTAGGGCTAAGGCTCGAACCCAGGACTCACCCGGCCCGGCCACGCGGCGCCGCCACCGCTGCCGCCACAGGCAGGGGCCAGCCAATCACTGGCCGCGGAAGAGCCTCCCGCCCCTGGGGCCGCACCGCCCAGCCCACTCGCCCCAGCATCCGGAGATTCCGGCCCTCCCGGGGGCGGGGTCTCCGCGAGGCGCTACTTCCGCTCCGCGGGGCGGGTGTTTTCCGGTCAGATGGGGCCCCTTCTGGGAGGGTCTGGCTGCGCCCGAGCACCGCTCCTGCGCGCCTGGCGCCCACAGGAGGCGCCCCACTCGGTCCCGGCGTTCTGGGCCCTCCAGGCCTGGGTCCCGCTTCAGACCCGCTGTGAGCGCGCTGGGCGCTCCCACAACCCGCCCCTCTCTGCGGTCCCTGAATGGCTCCCTGCTCCCTTCACACCCTCTCCTGCTTGAGGGAGCCACGCTGGAGCCCGGCCTCATTACACCGGGTTTGCTCCAGCTGGGAGGCTCCCTTTCTTACTCCGTGGTGGGCGCCGAGGAAGGCTGATTCCTGCTTAAGTAGTAAGCATCAAGAACAAAGTGTTAGGGGCAGAAATAGAATAATGGGGACTAGCAGTAGTTACAAGAAATATTAATCATGCTCTGTTAACTGATTGTTCCATTCTGATTTAAGAAAGCACATTCATGCCTTGGCCGGTTTGCCCAGTGGATAGAGCATGGGCCTGCAGACTGAAGGGTTCTGGGACCGATTCAGGTCAAGGGCACCTAGGGTTGCAGGCTCCTGGCCCTGGTGGTGGTGGGGGGGGGCATGCAGGAGGCAACCAATCAATGGTGTTTCTCTCTGTCTCTCCCTCTCGCTTCCTCTCTGTAATCAATAAAAATATATTTAAAAAACAACAAATAGAAATACTACTTATTGAATGTTTACATTGACCAGACACTGCCTCACATACATTATCTCACTTAATCTGCAAATAACACAAGAAGAAACTAAAGCTCAGAGAGGTTAGGTAACTTTCCTGTCACACAACTTTTGAGCCAAATATTTGAATTTGCTAAATATTTGACCTAGAAAATGGATATTGCTATCCTACAGAAAGAAAATATACAAAGTTGGCACATTTGAGTCCAAGGTATGGATAAAAAGGGGGGTTCTATGGAAGGTAACCTCACAGGTGATCTGATCACAAATTCCCAACGGGGCAGGTCATTGTGGGTAGTCTTGCTCCAGGCCTATAACTTCCTTATGAAAGGTTTTAAACTAGCCCTGTCATTTGTTCTTACCCATTTAGGTTAACACACCTTTGAAATGACAGAAGTAGCCCTAGCAGGTTTGGCTCAGAGGATAGAGCATAGTCCTGTGGACTGAAGGGTCCCAGGTTCGATTCTGGTCAAGGGCACATGCCTGGGTTGCAGACTTGATCCCCAGTATGGAGCATGCAGGAGACAGCCAATCAATGATTATCTCTCATCATTGATGTTTCTATCTCTCCCTCTCCCTTCTTCTCTGAAATCAATAAAAATATATTTTAAAAAAAGAAATGACAGAAGTAATATCCTTTGAAGAAGGAGTGTGTTCCCTCAAGAGCACATAATCTTGTTAACTATCCTGTAATCCAATCCCAGCCTTGCTTTCTCCAATCTTCCTTACATCCCTGCCTTAATTTCAAATGCATAAAAGAAGATGTGAAGTGTTATTCTCAGGAGCTTTTGAGATCTTGCTTCCTGCATATGTGGCCAATTTGGCTCAAATAAACTCTTATGAAAATTTCTCTGCAGGCTTGTATATCTCTTACCTGGACAGATACAACAACAAAAAAAGCACAGGCAACAAAATTAAAATAGATAAATTGAGCATCAAATTAAAGACTCTTGTACATCAAAGGACATTATCAAGAGTGAATACACAACTTACAGAATGGAAGATAATATTTGCAAATCAAATATCTGACAAAGACTAATATCCAGGACATAAAAAGAACTACAATTGGCTCGGTTGGTGTGACTCAGTGGGTGAGCATTGACCTATGAGCCAGGAGGTCACTGTTCGATTCTCAGGGCATATGTCTGGGTTGCAGGCTGATACCTGGTGTGGGGCATGCAAGAGGAAGCCAATCAATGATTCTCTCTTTTCATTGATGTTTCTATCTCTCTCCCCTTCTTCCTTCCTCCCTGAAATCAATAAAAATATTTTAAAAATAACATAAAATAACAAATATTGGTGAGGATGTGCAGAAATTGGAACCCTCGGGCATTGTTGGTGGAAATATAAACTGATTCAGCCACTATGGAAAACAGTATGATGGTTCCTCAGACAATTAAACATAAAATTACTATATGATCCAGCAATATCACTTCTGAGTTTACAGTTATGGATGAAAAAGGGATCTGTAATAACACTGAGAAGTCCATTCAGGGAAAGTAACCTCAGAGTGATCTGATCATAAATTCCTAACTGGAAAGGTGAGAGTGTCTAATCTCATTCTCAGGAGTGTTTGAGATCTTGCTTCCCAGCAATTGTCATCAGTTTGGCTCTGTGGGGGAGCACAGGTGACTTGTTTGGAAAGTTTGTAAGGAGAAAAATTCCGAAAAAAGGAGTGGGCTGAAGGCAGCCTACCCCGTTTATCAGAATTCCTACTTAGGGGAGTTTGGCCGAAGGTGGCTACCCCTAATTGTTCCTTGACCTTTCCAAACAAGTGTGTGTACCTTGGGTGTTTACTGGAATCTTTATACTTAATCTTTAGGTGTCCTTGCTTAAAGGACATTGTAGACACATGTGTCCTCCCAAGATTACTTACCCCACTGATTGTATCTAAAAGATAAACTTTATCTCAAACTGCTTTTACAATAAAAGCCTGAAGAGGCAGGTGATCAAGGCTGTCTGGTTCCTTTAGCTAGGCAGTCCCTTAGCCCTCTCTTTCACAGCAATTCTGTGTCAGAGTAATCATTCATCTATAGCTCAGGGTCTGCTGGTCAGCCCTGGCAAAGTGGTACCCCGTGTGAGGACCAAGGAACGCAAACAGACACGGCGGAAACGAAGAGTAAGAAAACGAAGACTAACTGCGCAGTAAGTCATTGGAGCCAGCTTGGAATTGCCAAGTTTGAGGGTATGTTTTTCAGCTAAGGTTTCACAATAGGACAGCAGGTATCCACTGAGTAACAGATTTCTTTGTTACTTAAACAGTTATTAAAAGCCAATGGTGCCTTGTTTATAGAAGAACAATTAAAGAGCCTGTTGCAGACTGTCCGGTTTACTAGAGGCCCAGTGCACAGATTTGTTCACTGGTGGGGTCCCTTGGCATGGCCTGCGGGGATCAGGCCGAAACTGGTAGTCCAGTGCTGCCTGCTGCTCCTGCCTGCCACTCCTGCTCATATCAGCCCTGCTGTGCCTGTTGCCACTGCCACTCAGTAGGCTCGCTGCTGCTCCGCTGCGGTCTCCGGGCTGCTGCGACCAGCCATGAGCTCTGCCTCTGGCGCCCGTTGGTCAGCTGAGTGGAGCTCTCACTGTGGGAGTGCACTGACCACCAGGGGGGCAGCTCTTGCTTTGAGTGTCTGCCCCCTGGTGGTCAGTGCACATCATGTCAACCAGTCGAATGGTCGCTTAGGCTTTTATCCTATACTAGAGGCCCAATGCACAAAATCGTGCAAGGGGCTTGGCCCTCACAGTTGTAGTAGCTGCCTCGACCCTCACAGCCCCAGCTTTGTTCAGAAGGACATCCAGAAGGTCGTTCAGCTGTCCGGTCTAATGAGCATATTACGCTTTTATAATTATAGACTAGGGGACCAGTGCATGAATTCATGCACCTTGAAAGGAACTGTGGGCTGTAAGGGTGCAATGGACAGAGGGATAAGTCTCGGCCCATCCTTCACTCCCCTGCCCGGCCCCTCCAGCCTCGCCCCCTGGTCCCCTCTTGGAAGGACACGTGTCTGCCGGTGCAGAGCAATTGGGGCTGGCACCAGCAGCGGGTGCAAGCAGGGCTGATGCCGTCAGCGGGTGAGAGCAGCAGCTGCTGCCCCGATCACCCCTCAGGAGCAGGGGGAGGTGGAGAAGCCCTGAGAGGCGATTGGGACCTGCAGCTGCCACTGGCACCCGCTGATGGTGCCTAGAGATTGGGGCCAGCACTGGGTGCTGGCAGCAGGTGTGAGCGGTGGCTCTGGCGCCGGCAGCGGGTGTGAGGGGGGCCGGCGCCAGCAGTGGGTGCAAGTGCTGGGCGGGACCTCAGCATACAGGAGCAAACAATTTTCAGTAACCACCAGAGGCTCGCCCCAATGACAGTGACCAGCACCCCACCTTGGTCTGGCGCCTTTGCTCACCTGCTCCACCATCCTGCTGTGGCCGATGCCTGCCATGCTTCGCGCTCTGCTGCCTGCTGCCAATGCCCACCATGTTCCGCTCACCCCCTGGTGGTCAGTGCACATTATAGTGACTGGTTGTTTGGTTGTTCCGCCGTTTGGTCTATTTGCATATTTGGGTTTTATATATAAAGTAGAGGCCTGGTGCATGAATTCATGCATGGGTGGGGTCTGGCCGGAGGCCCCCATTGGCCACTGGCTGGCCCCCGATCAGGGTGATGAACTCCTTTAGCTTTTTCTTATCAGTGAAGCTTTTTATCTGGCTTTCAATTCCAAATGAGCTTTGCTGGGTAGAGAAGGGCGTGGCAAGAAATATTCAAAGTGAGGAAGAGCAAGGACCTGCAGCCAGGGTGACCTTCCTTTTGAAAGGACTTGTCTGCTCCCAGCCAAGGGTTTGGTCTCCATGAAACCCGGGTCAGTCTTTGCATTGGGCAAGTGGAATCACTGAGGCCTATTTGAGAGTCGCCATGGCTGGGAGCGTGAACTCAGAACAGTTAAAAACACGTTCGTTAAGGGATGTTATGGGTTCTCATCAAAAAGCCCACACGTGCCGAAACCGGTTTGGCTCAGCGGACAGAGCGTCGGCCTGCGGACTGAAAGGTCCCAGGTTCGATTCCGGTCGGGGGCATGTACCTGGGTTGCGGGCACATCCCCACTGGGGGATGTGCAGGAGGCAGCTGATCGATGTATCTCTCTCATCGATGTTTCTGACTCTCTATCCCTCTCCCTTTCT